TTCAAGCTAACCTTTTATTTTGGTTCAGTTCACATCAGAGACCATAGTTGTATTGCTTCCACGGCAACTGGCGATTCGTTTTGATGTGTGACCTAAAGTGGTTTCATTTACTTTGTCTCTTGTCTCTTATTAACATGCAAAGCCAGCATATCCTGGTTACAGGTAATTAAGTCCCTGTGCTCTTATGGTAATAATAACAGTGCTAAATGTATAACATTCTAACATGCACACACACACACACACACCCATATATATATATATATATATATATATATATATATATATATACTGATACTGTATCAGTGATGGATGATACTTTTCTTAAGAAGAGCACTGCAATCCATTATTAATGAGAAAAACTGTACCACAGACAGTATAAGTGCTAGAGGAAGGTCCACTTCTAGGAAAACGAGAAGTCATGCATTCCATGTAATCTTATAGCAGTCACTACTGCTGTATAGATGTATACAATAACTATACACTCACCTAAAGGATTATTAGGAACACCTCTTCAATTTCTCATTAATGCAATTATCTAATTATCAACCAATCACATGACAGTTGCTTCAATGCATTTAGGGGTGTGGTCCTGGTCAAGACAATCTCCTGAACTCCAAACTGAATGTCAGAATGGGAAAGAAAGGTGATTTAAGCAATTTTGAGTGTGGCATGGTTATTCATGCCAGACGGGCCGGTCTGAGTATTTCACAATCTGCTCAGTTACTGGGATTTTCACGCATGACCATTTCTAGGGTTTACAAAGAATGGTGTGAAAAGGGAAAAAACATCCAGTATGTGGCAGTCCTGTGGGCAAAAATGCCTTGTTGATGCTAGAGGTCAGAGGAGAATGGGCCGACTGATTCAAGCTGATAAAAGAGCAACTTTGACTGAAATAACCACTCGTTACAACCGAGGTAGGCAGCAAAGCATTTGTGAAGCCACAACACGCACAACCTTAAGGCGGATGGGCTACAACACAGAAGACCCCACCGGGTACCACTCATCTCCACTACAAATAGGAAAAAGAGGCTACAATTTGCAAGAGCTCATCAAAATTGGACCGTTGAAGACTGGAAAAATGTTACCTGGTCTGATGAGTCTCGATTTCTGTTGAGACATTCAGATGGTAGAGTCAGAATTTGGCGTAAACAGAATGAGAACATGGATCCATCATGCCTTGTTACCACTGTGCAGGCTGGTGGTGGTGGTGTAATGGTGTGGGGGATATTTTCTTGGCACACTTTAGGCCTCTTAGTGCCAATTGGGCATCGTTTAAATGTCACTGACTACCTCAGCATTGTGTCTGACCATGTCCATCCCTTTATGGCCACCATGTCCCCATCCTCTGATGGCTACTTCCAGCAGGCTAATGCATCATGTCACAAAGCTCGAATCATTTCAAATTGGTTTCTTGAACATGACAACGAGTTCACTGTACTAATATGGCCACCACAGTCACCAGAACGAGAGCTTTGTGCTCTGGATGTGCATCCCACAAATCTCCATCATCTGCAATATGGGCCAACATTTCTAAAGAATGCTTTCAGCACCTTCTTAAATCAATGCCACATGGAATTAAAGCAGTTTTGAAGGCAAAAGGTGGTCAGTATGGTGTTCCTAATAATCCTTTAAGTGTGTGTATATATTGCAGGAGAAAAGAGAGAGTGCTGAATAATATATTTGGCATTTTGCAGGTAGTATAAATACTATGAACACATTTATTTAAAGGCAGATTGCAGTCTGAGCAGTGTTTTGTAACTGCATTACTGCAAAGGGTTACAAGTGTAAAAGGGGTGTCTGTGATATTTCTGTATGTTGTCCGATTACATTGATTTCTGTATGGCTCATGTGATTAAAAAGATTTCGGAAGGACTAATTTTACACCTGACCAGTTACATTTAGATTCGTTGACGCTGTATGAGTCAGTTTAACGCTGATGGTTTTATCTCGTCACAGAGAATGAGGAAGCACACTCTTTTCTACTCGAAAGGACAATGACTTCTTCAGCCTGGGCCCGCATTGTTTCAAGATCATCTCTGATTCAAGAGCTCTCCTGCTATTGTGCGCTATCACTGCTTAGATAAATGGTAATGAGCCCTTGGAAGGGTACGTTTTCCATGGGCTTGATGAAGCATTGTAATACTGGTGGCAGAGATGGTGTGAGATGCCAAAATGAAATAATTCATTTATGAAATAATTTGCAAGCTGTGAGCACAACTATCTTTCCCCATTTCTGTCTAGTCTTCAAGAGAACAGTATTTCTGAGGGTAATGTAATGCATTCTTACTGAATAAAAGTATTAATTAAAAAAAGTCATAATAAAGTTAAAGGATAGTTGACCCAAAAATCCTTTGTTTGCCCACAAGTTGTTCCAAATCTGTATGGATTTCTTTCTTCAGCTGAACTCAATTTTTTTTTTTTTTTAAATATCAGTAACCAACAGTTGGCTTCTATAGTATGGAGAATAAATCAGTCCCTCCAGGATTTCACGATTTTTTTTGTGACTTTTGCGATCAAAATGACTGATTTTGTGGTGGTAATTTCCAAAAATTTGTGAAAAAATTTGCGATTTACATTTAACCTTTACCATAATAGTATTCAGTCCTTCCAGAAAAACGCTGAGTTTTTTTGTGATTGTTGCGGGCAAAAATGTATTGATTATGCGGCCAGTTTTCTTTAAAAATGCGATGAAATATGTGGGATATTTATGCAATTTTATGCGATGAAATTGCTGGAATTTGCAAAAATTGAGGGAACTTGCAAAAATTGAAAAAGAGAAAAAAGTGATTCCCCCAACATCCTGTTAATATAATAGTCATTTCTTATTACTTCCTTTGATAAACAAGCATACTACATCATAGAAAGTGCTGGGAATATTTAATTTCTCATCTTGTTTTATTTCAGACTGTAAGATTGTAAATAAGGTGTGGCCCCTTTAAGAGCTGCGCGCTCCCTGTTGAACTGTCTGCAGTGTTATATGTGCGCCTCGAACACCCCATGTGTGCAGGTAATTTCTGTTTGATGCTACTACTTTTATCTTATGTTGTTTATTAAGTAACGATGTGACAGTAGAACGTTCGACAGACAGTTATACAAGTTCGATTTGTGATGTCAATCACCTCCGTGAGTCTGTCTGGCGTCGCGTAATTGCGTCACTTCATAACGTTCCCATGGAAACAGGGGGAAATGGCTGCTCTTATGTGAAGCAAACGCAACATTTTTCAACTTTCTGCTAAGGTACATGTGACTTTTTTTTTTGCAACGAAAATGCGAGGATTATGAAATTATGCAAACCCCGCATATTTTGCACGGAAATCGGCAATTTATGCGGCGAAAGTGCGGCGTATTTGAAAAAATGCTGCCCCCGCATAAATATGCGGACTTTGGCTGATTTTGCATTAAATTCAGCGATCGCATAATCGCGTTTTTCTGGAGGGACTGATAAATGGAAGTCAATAGGGCCAATCAACTGTTTGCTTATTGACAGTCTTCAAAATATCTTCTTTTGTGTTCAGCTATCAAGGTTTAAATTGGAATTCAATTTATTTATTTATTTATTTTTTAGAAAAGGCATGCCTCAAACTCAATGGCTAGAACTAGAAGTAGTTATTAATGGATAACACCTATCACACAAATCTATCATATGGCCTAAGAATAATTAATATGACGCATTCTATGTTTTGGATCCTTATTTGACTTTGGCAGACAAGGTCACTCCTATTTTGTTTAACAGTAATTCTTATTTGTCTGTCCCAAAGACAAAATAACAACTGGGAAACATTCCAAACGGGTTTGGAACGCCATATGGGTGTGTAAATGATAGGATTTCCTCTATGGGGACTCGTGTGGGCATGCTGGCTCTAAAGTGGTAAAACAATATGTTAAAACCAGTTATATTCACTAAAGGTGCCACTGATGGCTCAGATGCAGAGCTTGAGTCATCAGACCCTAATGAGTTTAAGCACAGATGTTGAGCTACATCGTTCTGACAGCATTCTGGGAAATGCAGTTCCAGACATGAGGGTGACTAAAAGGCTCATGCAAAGTCCCTTCAGAAAATGTTAAAGATCACGGCTGGTGGGTTGCAAACGTTGCATTCCTATGTGGCTATGTTAAAACAACCAGGACCGGGGAATACAAGACAGAGAGGATGTTGGTAAAATCAAGACACTGAAGCCGATGACCACCAATTTCCACTTGAGGCATTTGGTATTATGAGATTAAACTTGCTGAAACCATTTCATAGCTCCAGTTTCCGCTGGCCTACTTGTTACTAGCTATTAATCAGTGTTTTAAATGAAAACCATGCTGTTCCTCAGGCAGTTGGATTGGGAAATCAATTAAAGCAATTCATTTCAGGTGCTTTTTATAGCTATTTTCTCTCACAGGTGTCAGAGTTTGAGTGAGTACAGTCACTAATTACTGCTCACTGATACATATGCAGATGAGAGGGCAACTTATTTCGCATGTACGTGTGCGCGAGAGAGACGTCATAGCTGAAACATTTCTAAGCACTAAACCGATTCTGTTTTAATAAAGTTGTAGTCTGACAAGTAGGCACTGCCTGGGTTTTGATGGAATTTAAACTGACATTTCCTCGTTGAATATTCAGCATGAAAAATGCGCAGCCGTCAGTTTCGAGACGCTGAACAAAACCGAAGCACTGTTCTTTTGTTGAAGCGTTGAGCGATACTCGCGGCAAGACAATTCCAAACTTTGTGGAATGGAGAGTGTTATCTGATTAATTTACAAAACATGGTTTTCTCTGAATGCTTGAGGATTCAGCAAGTAAAATACAATGAGGGTGCCCAGATATAAGATTTTGAAAGGATATGTCTAATTTTATTTTGCATGCATTATCTAGAAGCCATTCCCTCAAAACTTCATTTTCTCACTCCCTCTCACAGGTATTCCCCTTCCTGGTGATCCCAGGCACACAGACGGGATCGTTCAGAGCTCACATCCCGGCCCTAGCCTTTCTGCCTGGGATCTGAACTCACCATATAGCTCAGGTCTCTTGCTTGCAGCTGAGAAGTGGCTGGGGATGCGGCGGTGGAGTGGCTCCCTTCCACGGCTGCTGGGGGACCCTGTAGGTGAAACACCTACTGAGGGTAAGTTTCAGAGCTCTTGGTGAATATAACACAACAGCAGAATAGGAACCACTACCCCCCCAGAACCCCAATCCCACTGCCCCCTAAAATCACCAAAAATTGGCCTGGTTTCACAGACAGGGCTTAGATAAAGCCAGGATTAGGACTTAGTTAAATTAGTAGCTTTTTTAAATGTGCCATTATTGGTGTGCATATTGAGACAAAAGAAAGGCACTGACATATTTTAGGATTAAGTTGCTTTCAGTTAAGACAGCTCAAACATGCATTTTAAGCATCTAGCTTAAGTCTTGTCTGTGAAACTGGGCATTAATGTTATAATCATATTGTTTTTTTATATGTTCTTACACTCCTAGTACAGTATATTTTGTTATTGTATAAGTGGCCACAAAATGTATTGGGAAAATTTCTTTGCAAACCTAAGACCATAGTAAACCAAGTAGTATATCTGTAAACTATTTTTTATTTTATTATCACTATTATTCACTGAATCGTTTAAAAGTTTAGGGTCTGTAAGATTTTTTTAAATGTCTTCTATGCTCACCAAGGCATGTGATCAAAAATACAGTAGCATTAACATTGTAAAATATATTAAAGTAACTGTTTTATTTTAATTTGTTTTAAAATAGATTACTCCAGTGTTCAGTGTCACATCCTTCTGAAATGATTTTAATATGCTTATTTAGTCAAATGCATTTCTTATTATCAATATTGCAAACGATATAGAATAAAGTAGTGCTACCTTCGATTTTTGTGAAAATATAACATATTTCTTTGATGAAAAGAAAGCTCTAAAGAATGGCATTTGAATCAAAATAAATATTTTGTAACATTATAAATGTCTTTACTATCACATTTGATCAATGTAGTGCATCCTAAGAGTATTAATTTCTTTAAAAAAAAATCTTATTGACCCCATATTTGTTTACAGTAGCATATGTATGTATTTGCTTGTGTGTATTTTTTATTTATTTATTTATTTTTATTTAAAATGATCTAAACCAATGATCCATTTCCAAATGCTTTTTGGAGCCACTGTATTTGCAAACTTGTATTTTTATACTAAATATAAAAATAAAAATAAAAGGCTTCCTAATACATCCTTCCTCCTCAAAGCACAGAGAGAAAAATGTGCAGAGAGCAGTAAATTAATTGCAGAGATGGGAGTAAGTCACACATGTTCAAGTCACAAGCAAGTCTCAAGTCCCACACCATCAAGTCTCAGTCATGTCAGTGGTTCATATATATATATATATATATATATATATATATAGGCCTATACATATATAAAGTCATTCTCGAGTCATACAGTTCAAGTCAAGTCAATTTTCTTAATTTAGTCAAGCAAGTCTCAAGTCCTTAAATGTGCGACTCGAGTCACGTCCCCCATCTCTGATTAATCAACCTGATTCTCTCAGGGTTTTGACTGACAGAATTGTATGATTCCTGAACTTTCACTGAAACATTGTAAAAATCAAGACATGTAGGCCTATTGGATGAGCTATTGCCATGGTTTAGAAATGATGTGATCAACTCGGTTGCTATAAATCCTATAGCCCAGGGGTAAGCAAGTTCGGTCCTAAAGAGCTGCCGTCCTGCAGAATTTAGTTCCAGCCCTAATCAAACACACCCGAACAAGCTAATCAATGTCTTCAAGATTTCTAAGGCGATAGGCAGGAGAGGTTTTTTTCAGTGTTGGAGCCTGTCTCTGCAGGACAGTGGAACTTACCCACCCCTGCTATAGCGCTTTTAATCACCCTCATCTTGGGAAACGTGACATTTAATAAACCACTTAACTGTCCGGGGTCAACCTGGGTTAACAAACGGGTCAACGTGAATCGCTTTAATGATGCACTTCGATTCTTTCATTTCGAAAAAATCCGTCACTCAGCTTTCATTAGCAGTGATTAGTAACAACAAAAAGCTCTGCCGACTGATTGGTCTTCCTTATTCTACAGTGAAAAGCCTTCTCTGCGTGTAAGATTCATATCTCTGTGGGGCTCCTCCCACTCCTGCCGAGCCAAGTAAATACAGTCCTCGCCAAGGAAAGGCTGAGGAAATGCCAATGTGGCCCACACCAAAGGTTACCCTGTCGGCTTCTCTTAATTGGATCAGCTATGGAGCCGTGATGCCCTTTGATTCCCATTCACAGTTGGACTTCAGTAGTTGCTTTTAATTCAAAGAGATCTCTCCGGACACTATTGAGCGGCGATGCCTCATTTGCGTAATGCGCAACTCAAATTCAGGGCAGCAGAAACTGTTCAAAAACAGATTTCTGCTGGTTATGTATTGCATCGTTTTGTTTACAGGCTTTCGGTCAGGGTCTCTTCTGACGCCAGATAATCAGTAGAGACAGATAAACGGTTTTAAAGGTAATAAAAGATTGTTAGTTGTCCTTCCACTCAAGGTTGGTGAGAACATGCGGGTGAGGTGCTGTATTGATGGACCTGGTCTTTTTATCAAACAGATTTACACGGGCAAATACGTCTAGCTGAACCATATGCGAGCATCACAACAGGGCTAATCAGCCGCCTAACAAAGATGGATTTGATTTAAAAGTCGCAGAGACCCTAATTAATACAAACTGCTTGACTTTGTCAGTCTTTCCCTAGTAATGACATTTATGTCAGCCACAAAAATATTCCTTAGATGTTGGTGCTCTAACCTTGGCAGCTTTTACAGATTTTAATTTGATTGTCGCGAGTCTGACTTCCAAAACTTAATACTTAGTCTTTGTTTATAGAGAAACAGGCCAAGGTACTGTTTGTGGAACTGAATTTAGATTGACACCTCAAAAGAAAACACTAGGTATTACAATAAAAATGCTGATTTTTGTCAAAAGCTGGCCAGCCCCATGTTGATACAACAGAACTGTGAGTGATAACATATCGGATGTTGCCGGAGGGGAAATTCATCACGCAGAGTGAGACTAAATTACATAGACCCTCCACCCCACGGTAATCCTGATATTAAACATCATTCTGGGTTTTATCTACTGGTAACATAGTCTTAGATAATAATATTTGCAATACATTTAATGTCGGGAGACAGGTTGCCTATAAAAAGGCCCGAATTTACATTATCTCAAGATTAAACTCAATGAATCAGATGCGAGCATGAGATGAATGCTGATGATAGCTTGTTCTCTGGAGAGAGAAGATTCATGATACATGCAGTGCAAATCCATGAAAAAGATCCAAAGCATCACAATTAAGATTAAACGCATAATTACCAATGTGGCCAGTGAAGTATAAATGATAAGAAACATCCAAGAACGTCTGTTCTTTCTCCTTAATGCATGCATGATGTTTATCTTAAAAATATCATTTTTGGAAATAGGATTTTGCTCAGTGTGATTAATCATTACAAATAACTCATTTATAATATGAAATGTCATTACATTTTAAATAAATTTGATAAAAATGATCAAATGTGTGTATAAAAATTCATGTAAAACATACATATTTATATAGTGACAGGATAAAAAATGCTGCCAAAGGGTACTGAATTTAGAGTTCGAGAGAGAGATGAAATTCATAAATGGTGCTAACATGTGCTGGAAACTCTAATCTAAGAGGTGCATAATTTAGTGTCTGATGATTTATTGCTTTGTCCTTTGTTGATATCTAAAACTTATATTAGAGTTTGCAGTTGCTGAAACAGCCCACATTAACCCTATAGGAAACAATTTGTTGGTTAAAGTGAACATTCTGTGATCAAGGGCATCTGTTGTGATCTCTGTCGTTTTCTTAGTGTTGCAAGTTTCAATTCTCTGACATTGTATGTTACAAAAACCCATTTTGTGTGGCTTAGGCTGAAAACTAATACTTCTAAGAGTCTTTCTGGTATGAAAAAATAACATATGTACCACCAGCTATCTGCATCCCTGCATGTAGAAATGCATCAGTCCACGACGCGTAAACAAGGGTCCTGTTGTTGTTAGTGTTAGTGTTATGTTTTATGTACATTATATAGTATTAGACAAATATCTAGTACATGCAGCTGCTTAAAGGTACAATATGCAGGATTTTTGCAGTAAAATATCCAAAAAAAACACTAGGCCAATGTTATATATTTTGTTTAGTTGATTACTTACAATATCCCAAATGTTTCCAACTATTTGTAAATCGTGAGAAAATTGCGGCGAAACACGGGGCATGGGAGCAGGGGTGAGGAGTTGCCAGTCAATGACGTCATATCCGCGTTACCTCCGGTTTCCGCCAGGTTTGACCTCGTACTGCAATAGTAACCATGGCGACAGACGTGGACAACTGGGTCGGTTATGCCCATTATGCGTGCTCAACAGCGTGAGCGTCCCTAGCAGGGTTCTGTTCAAACATTATGGACCACAGCAAGCGGACTTTGAGACAAAAAGAGGACTAAAACGAAGATCAACATCTTTCCAGATGCCGAGAGCTCCACGTCCGCGACTAACTAGGGCTGTCGCGGTTATGGAATTTCCCTTGCGGTAATGTTGAGTGGCTCAATAGCGCGATTTGCGGTATTACCGCCATTTATTTATTTAATTTATATGTATTTGTTGCTATATAAATAAAGTTTACGATGTGGACAAAAATGAGGACATTTTCAGTTACCAATGTAACCGAAACTAAACACACAGTATGCGCATTGAAAGACTTTCACTCAGCGCGCATATTGTTATGACAACGGACTTTGAGCGAGTCGTTCATTCAACGAACACGTTTAAAAAAGCTGATTCATTAAAAGAGATGTAAAGAAACAAGATGTTAATTATTTTTAACTTTGAGGTTCTACTTTTCAAGGCTCAGCTGAGCAGCAATGCGTCACATGGGCAACGCTGAAGCTGATGCTTCACTTATTAGAGACCCATATAGCATTGATTCAATGCGTGACTCACTGATTTTATGCTGTGGGATGCTGACCAGCGCTGCTGCTGACGCGCATTTATGGGAAAATACCCGTGTAGAGAACGTTAAAATGATGACGCGACAAATATTTCGCTTCCCTTTGACACGACAAGCTTTTCACGACTTCAAAGACAGACGCTGGTAATTGCACGCGCTCTGCCGATCTCTCTCATTCAATAGCTGTCTGTGTGAAGCCTGTAGGCTACACAACACTATGATAAACAGTCTTGTTATCATTAGGAACTTGTTTAACATTCAATACACATGCATTAAGTTCAAAACAAGAAGGGTATAGCCTTATTAAAAAAAAAACGTGAATATTGCGGTTGCTGCGATTACGTGCAATCCTCTGCGGTTGACATGTCAGACAGTCCCTCCAGAAAAACGCGATTATGCGATCGCTGAATTCAATGCAAAATCAGCCAAAGTCCGCATATTTATGCGGGGGCCGCATTTTTTCAAAATACGTCGCATAAATTGCAGATTTCCGTGCAAAATATGCGGGGTTTGCATAATTTCATAATTCTCGCATTTTCGTTGCAAAAAAAGTCACATGTATCTTAGCAGAAAGTTGAAAAATGTTGCGTTTGCTTCACACAAGAGCAGCCATTTCCCCCTGTTTCCATGGGAACGTTATGAAGTGACGCAATTACGCGACGCCAGACAGACTCACGGAGGCGATTGACATCTCACAAATCGAACTCGTATAACTGTCTGTCACACGTTCTACCGCCACGTCGTTACTTAAACAACATAAGATAAAAGAAGTAGCATCAAACAGAACATCAAAGTAGCATCAAACAGAAGTAGCATCAAACAGAAATTACCCGCACACATGGGGTGTTCGAGGCGCACATATAACACTGCAGAGAGTTCAACAGGGAGCGCGCAGCTCTTAAAGGGGCCACACCTTATTTACACTCGTTACAGTACGAAATAAAACAAGATGAGAAATTAAATATTCCCAGCACTTTCTATGATGCTTCCTTATCAAAGGAAGTAATAAGAAATGACTCTTACATTAGCCGAGTGAGAACAGGATGTTGGGGGAATCACTTTTTTTTCTCTTTTTCATCAAACCGCAATTTTTGCAAGTGCCCTTAATTTTTGCAAATTCCTGCAATTTCATCGCATAAAATTGCATAAATATCCCACATATTCCATTGCATTTTTTAAGAAAACCGGCTTGCGTAATCAATCAATTTTTGCCCGCAACAATCACAAAAAAAAACTCCGCGTTTTTCTGGAAGGACTGAATACTATTATGGTAAATGTTATATATAAATCGCAAATTTTTTCACAAATTTTTGGAAATTACCACCACAAAATCAGTCATTTTGATCGCAAAAATCACAAAAAAAAATTCGTGAAATCCTGGAGGGACTGGTCAGAAGCGCGGTACTACAATATTGCGGTTACCGCGACAGCCCTACGACTAACTTCGACTTAGAGACGCGAGTGTTGCATGTTACTTGAGCAAACAGGTGAGCAAATCAATGTATATAAAACTAATCAATGTATAGTTCAACATGATGAAAAGTTAGAATATGATCTGTATGTTACTCTCTAATGTTGATCTAGCTTAGTCAGCCAACAGACAATCTAACTAACAACATTCAACACACTCAAATGCCGTTTAGTGTGATAGTGAAACTGTTAGAGCAAGTGAAGCTGTTACCTCAAGTTTAATTCCTCTAATAAACTGACCTGTGTGAGTAATTCAGCACTTTTGTGTAGTTCGGTAGAATTGAATGTCCTTATTCCTTTATATCCGCGGGACTCGCGTTGCGTGTTGTGCGAGTATACGTCTAGCAATCGCGCCCTGCGTCCTACAGTCATGTTAAAAACATCAGTGTATTCACTCATCCATAAAAGATCCATCAGCTTGACGACAAGATCCATAATTCTGTTTAATGCGGAATGTAGACCCCTTTTCAGTTGGTAAACATGGTGACGTTTTTATGTGGGCGGAGCTTAGGTGGAGGCAGAGCGATCCCTCTGGCTGCTTCACTAACGCTAGTTAGCAAGTTTTATTAGCTTGTTTTTTAACAATGACTGGAGAAAATCAGATTTTATCTTAATGTGTAAGGTCACTCAATCTCCAGGACCGTGATTGTTATTTCCAAAAGTTATTTTTAACGGACAGAACCAGATTGGCCGACCCGTAGCCGCCTACACGCTCACTCAATGCATGGACGATCGGACAGGATTAACGTTACGTTACCTCGGGTGAGTGGCCTGACTTCTACATCTACCTTATAGAGAAACCGATCGTAAAGAGAAACTGATGGCATATAAATCTTTAGATGCCTCTAACTATGTGCTGAATGGTCCTTTATAAGACTTGTGTGTATGATCCGCAGTTCTGCCGAGCCAGGGCAGAGAAGATGACAATGTACATTACGGTGCGATTTTAATCATGTGAATATTTTCTAGAAATAAAAAATCCAGATACAGCATTGATACTTGCACCAAACAACACAATAAGATGACATTTAAAAATAATAAAAGTCATTTAAGCTCCTTATTATGTAGCCGAATCAGTGCTGGTTTGCATTGGCCGCCTTCAGTTTTCACTTTGTTTTGCCTCCAGCTAGCACCGTGACGTAACTGTGACGTCGGCGCAAAAGGGGTCTATACGTCATTAATATACGCCTTTGTTATTGTAAGAAGTTAGCGACCCCTGGTGGCGAAACAATCTTGCATATTGTACCTTTAATAGACTATGGTAAATAAATGCGGCAATATGCTGTTCACCAAAGAGCTTACAACAACATGTATAAAGCGGTCATGAAATACTAAATGCCTCATATATTTGTCAATTCTATGTCTTCTGAGTCTCGAGTTAGTAGAATGGTTCGTCATGCAGCACGACACTCATGTGTATGGCTGATGGGTCTCTTTTTAAGAATGCTTCAGTGCTTTGTTGTATGATTGATTGGCTTGCTTTCTTCCTCTGATCAATATAAATAACTAGAATTTAAAGTCAAGAGAAAATGCATGCTACTTTTAAATGGATTGCTTTGTCAAGTGGATTGTGGCACAGTTCTAATCAAATTACAGTTGATAGTGATGGATAGGACTTAAGTAAAGAAGAGCTTGAGTAAAACAACAACAAAACTATCCCACAAGCACTCATACACGGACCCACCTACAGACTAATACGCTGTATTTGAGGACATAGTTGGTGCACTCGTGGATATGTATTCTTGAAAGCTACGTCAAGCAAGATTCATATTGTCATGAATGCTGTCTCAGAGCCAGACATGTGCAATATGCAGACTTGAGTAAACAATTCAAACTCTGTAAAATACAATCCACCCACAATTCAAGAATAATAGAAAGGCTTTTTTTCCATTTGGAGCTCCCCATGATCCTCCACTATACGTGGTTGAAGATTTATCTGTAGTGCAAGACGCACATAATAATTCATGCAAAGGCTGTGGGTTACACAATGCAATGCTAAATTAATAAAGTAACCTAGTCATTTTGCAATTCTGGTAATCGGGAGGCAGCGTGATCCTACCTTGAACTCCTCCAGGATTTTATAAGTCTTCCCTCTGTATTCGCAGAAGTTTTTGACCTCCTTGCATTCGGGGCAACACCCGTTGTGTTCCACCTTGGTGCACTTGGGGTGTATTTTAGGGCACTCGGGTTGGTCACAGACAGGTCCGTCCTCCGTGCACATGCACGGGCAGTTCGAGTGGCCAGGGAAGAAGCGTTCCCCGAGCTTGTACACAAAGCCACTGTCATCCACGCAGCCTTTCCCTCGGTAGTCATCGAAAATGATGTCATTGTTGGCAGTTCTCTCAGCCTCTTCCGCGGCGGGATAGTCCTCAGGGCCGACAGAGGCCGGTGAGACGGCGGCGTTCAGGGCGAGCAGCACGACGCAAATCGCCGGGAGAAAAGGGCCCATCCTTTGCCGCGGCAGTCTTGGCGCATTCAAGGAGAGTGTCTCAGGTCCCTTAAGTTGTAAGTCTCCATGCTGCAAATATGACACTGAAAGAAATGTAAACAACCCGTAGCTTGATAACTGGACATGCACTTTCTTTATCTTAACTCATAAAAAGAATGTCACAATGATCATGGTATGGTTTTCTTGAGAAATGTAACCTCAAGTGAATGGAGGAGTGTTGTAACAAAAATCTATTTTTTTTTTTTTTTTTTTTGCACTGTCTCAAATCTACAATTGCAGTTGCCTTAAAATTTGAAGTTGATTGAACTGGAAAAAGTGAGTTAATGCAATGAAGGAGATTGATTTAATCATCAGAAACTCAAAATAATAAGTTATCTGAACTAAATAAATTATTTAAGTTGATTTGACAAAAGAAAAAAATGTTGTGATAACAAATCTTGAAGTATTTTTTTTTACAGTGATCTGCTACAAAGTAGTTTTGAAAATATACTATAAACCCAAACTGTATAAATTAGTGTCAGGTACAGAGTCCTGTTATAGGCTACTGGTATGAGTTGCAACACCTATTAAATTTTAGTATGAATTTGTTGTGCCAGTCAAATTGATTTACAAATATCATAAATACACACACACACTGGGAAGTGTTACAACCCTCCCAATCCTGTCGTTAGTCACAAACTACACGTGCAGATATCAGAAAATACATGTTTCATTTCAAATTAAATACATTCTGATTGATCTGCTTTGGAATGCTCCTGAAATTACATGTTTCATTTCAAATTAAATACATTCTGATTGATCTGATTTGGAAATCAAATTCTAAACCAGACATAAAAGCTATTTTGAGGAAAGTGAAATTGCCTGACCTGTAAATAAAACGTCTACGGTCTCCCCATGAGGATGGGGGGTCAGGTATGTTAGTGGTTTCACCCCTGTTAAACAAAAGGTGTTACAACTCACCCAGTGTTACAGCACTCCCCGGTCTCACTGGTTAATCTCTGGTAAAGATCTGTCATTTGTTCCCATACAGAATGCACTGATGAAGAGTCAGCTCACGTAAACGTGGTGTGTTTTCCTCCTAAATGCTTTCTCTGGTGGGGGTGTTGAAAATATTACTTGCGTGTGCACGGGAAAAAGCCCACGAAGAACAAAGTAAATCAACGCAAACAGAAACCCAGATAATCACAGCCATTACAGACAGTGCTCTGCTCAACAAAGTTAGCCAGGATGTCTATTCTCGGGGACAACAGGTAGCTCCCCAGCTTAATTCCTCACTGCAGATGTGCATTGACCATGTCCGTACATTTCCACGCTCTGAATTTCGACTGCTCCAAGAGCCCTGAAGAAACGACACGGTTCCTGTGTCATTAACGAGTGCGTAATGGGCTTCAGTCCAAATGCCTCTTCACTCGTGAAAGCACGAGAAATTAAGCATAAAACGGCACAGTAGTGCGCGATTCTGCACGCACTAAGAAGCTGGCAGAGGAAAGCACTTTAAATGAAGAGTTCCCCTTTTACACTGAAAGATAGTCTAGTATTGTCAATGTCTAGCCTAGTCTATAATAAAATGACTGCCTCAGGCATGCTGAATGTATATGTGCAGAGACTGTCCGCCTTGAATGTAAATATAAATGCATTTTAAGCAAGTAATATAACCATGGTCATGCAATATTAATTAAATATTGCATTGAAGTATTGCAATAAACACGGATATGCCTTTAACCAAGTGGTTGGACTAGACTTACCGCGTTAAAAATGTCTGGTTCCACTTTGTTGGAATCGTAATCAAACGAACAAGTACACCTTCATGATGATAAACTCCAAAAAAATCATTCCAATTCGGGTTGGTGCAAAAAAAAAAAAAAAAAAAAATGTGCTTACTCCAATACAACAGATAATCCGAATGTCTCTATTATTTACAAATGAATGCTGATCATGTCCACTTCAGAAATGACATATCCAGAAACGCAATAATGATTCCCCCGATCATTTAGAGACCTCAAAAGGAAGGGGAAAAGATCCAAAACATATGTACACTTCCTTCTCGTGATCATCTAGTCATCCGCGACATTTAAATCAACTCCCAAATACTGCAGGTAAAACAGTATAACGCCATTTGGTGTTCGGCACCTCCGCCGAGAAAACAATTTGATGTCAAGTTAATAAACGAGATTAGATTCGATGGCATTACGTTTCCCCAGAGCGAAAGTAAGTTTATCTACATTGGAGAGGCTCGCACCGCCAGAGCAGACAGAAAAGCATCGTCTGAGACTAAGTTGAGTGCGGAGAGGAATGAGAACAGAGGAGCGTTTCATCTTCAGTAGGTCGCCTCAGAGAGTTCAGCACCGCGGACAGCGCGCGACCCCGCACTGCCGCTGCTCCAATCTTCTCCCTGCGAAATTCTCTAATCATGAAGCATGATTTTGCGAAACGTGCAACAGGACAGTTTTTTCTCTGGATCTTTTGGTCGTATTTGGCGCACTCTACTCAGCGTTTTCAATCGTAAATTAAAAGAAGTCATTAAATCGAGTTTGGTCATCAACAGTGAATCACATTGCAACAATTGAAAATTTCATTGCATAGGCTGATAAATTGTAAACTGAACCCACAAGAAATATATAAAATTGCTGTGCAGAAGGTAACCCATAGGGGCCACTGCATTACTGTATTTGATAGTGAGCTGAAGGTGGGCGTTTAGTATTGGTGCATTTTGTGTCCTTCGTTAACGTGTAAACAATGAAAAGTTTTGCTTTGCTATTATACACGTATTTCATAATGCATCAACTCAAATGCAGATATAAATGTATTTATGTATTTGTGCGTGTGTTTATTTTGTTCCTTTCTACCACACTGTAAAAAAAAAAAATCCGTTAAATTTACGGAAAAAAAAATAGCAGCTGAGCAGCAGAGTTGTCCTGTTAAAAATACGGTAGCAACATTGTAGGTTTAAAAGACTTTTAACCATATTTAATTTTACAGCAATAAACTGTATTTCATTATCTGATATCAAAAGATCAATCTAAGCTCATCATAATCAGCTCTTCCATGAGAAAATTCACACTACTATAGATAGAAGCTGCAGTGTCATTCACACAAACATTAAACACCATCATGGTAACATGTTGAAATTTAAAATAAAAATGCAATAAGTATTAATTTAACAACATTAAATGTAACACAAAACCCTAATGTACATAACTGATTAGAAAAAAAAAACTAAGAAAATTATAAAGAAACCGTTAAAATACATTAAATGTGAAGTGTCACGCAGGGAATTGTGGGAATGTCAATTTACATTTTTTTCACTGTAAATTATACAATGACTTGTTCTTTTTCACTTCCAAAAACTGTAAATTTAATAGTATTTTACAGTAAAATTACATTAAATGTACCATTATATACATCACAGTTATTTACCGTATATAAGGAAACTTTCTGTTACCCAATTAACAGTTTTTCACTGTAGCATTTTTACAGTCTTTTACTGTTAAAATCACGATCATTTAATATATATGGTTGGTAACACTTTATTACTTTGCAACTACATGTCAACTAACTCTCATCAGAGTATTAGTAGACTGTCTACTTAATATTTGTTAACTCTTTATTGTAATGGTCCCCCAACAGATATTCTAAGTGACTTTGCAACTACATTTCAACTTATTCTAACCCTACCAGTCTACTAATACTCGACTAACACTCTGATGAGAGTTAGCAGACATGTAGTTACGGCGTTATAGTCAACAGAACGTGTTACAGGGACCATCAAAATTAAGTGAAACCATATTGTTTTCCCAGGTTATGAACTCCAACGTATTAAAATTATGGACAATTGTACATCTTGTCAACATATGATCTCTTCAAGGACTCACTCTCTACCTCTTATTTATTTTATCTTAAATGACAATTGTGTGTAGGGGGAGATCTGAAAATGCCATCCCTGTTACCATGTCAGTAAACGACTGATAATTGAAAACTGGATATTTGTAGAAATACCAGCATTAAACTCTCTTTGTAATGGAGTCACTCTAAATGATGCTGGGTTGTTTTAACCCAAATTTGGGTCAAATATGGACTAACCCAAATGTTGGGTTAAAAATGTCATTTAAAATTTGAACCCAACTTCAACTTTCACTTTCAACTGTACATTTTTTTAATTACATTTTTAACCCAACATTTGAGTTTGTCCATATTTGACCCAAATTTGGGTTGAAACAAGTGTAGTGGCATGATCTTCAGCACAGCTAGCGATAGCTAAGTGAACTGTTAAAAGTTCAACTTTTTTATAAGTTAAGCTAAAATCACATTTCCATAAATGGAAGAGATACCCATTTTGTGGAATTAATTATAGTTGTATGAATTATACAAATGAATTTCGAACTCAAAACTGCATAATGCAAGCTCGCTACTTCATTTTGCTTGTTTATATATATATATATATATATATATATATATATATATATATATATATATATATATATATATATATATTCTTGCTGTGTCTCATTATATTAATGGTCTTCCAGCTTCTGCATTCTTATTGTTCTCATGGTAACACAGCAATGAAGGTTCTGCAGAAATGACAAAATTAGTAGTTCATCCTCAGCTGCGGCAACACTGGCAGCTGTTATTGAATAATCGCACTCAGTTTATGTCTTCTTCCGAAACTGAAAGCCTAAGCACCCAATATCTGCGATTAAATTCAGTCTGTTGCAAAGCGCTCCTGTGGGCCTGCTCGATCATCCAATTTTCCTCATGAATGGAACATTCAATATAATGTCCAACACCCATAAAATCCAAACAATAACATAGCAGAATTAGCCGTTGACATGGCCATAGAAATCGACAATACAATAGTGTGTTATGTAACATCTTGATGAGCACATTGTAGATCAACAGGTGAATGTGGTGAGGTTGGGTTCTGAAGTATTCACCCTTGAATACAAACATCCAAACCCGCTGATACCAAGCCACCTTAGATACAGGCTGTTCACATAGCAGAGCAAATCAATAGAAAGATATCTAAAAGCGAGGACACACGCTTTGCTTTTAACAGTGAAATTTCAGCTCTAGGTTATCTGCCCCTGAAGATACATTTGGCCAGTTTCAGGGGAGTATGTATGGGCAAAGCCAAACATGAGAAACTATCTCTTAGACTCTTCATCCCACTGTGACTCTAATCGAATAAACATACCTCAGGGGAGATGGAGTCTAGTGTGCCTTTGGCTTAACCTTCACTCTCTCTCTTCCTTTGCTAAATCTCTCCGTGCAACGCAAGTCGGCTAGACTGATGTGCTAATGAATTAAGGGAAATACTTTATCATATCTCAATATGAAATGTGCAAAATGGAAATCATCGGTCAAAGCCGGTGAATGAATTTTATGTCGTGAAGCTTATGCCTCCTCCTCCCTTTCATGAGGTTGCTCTGCATGTTGGCCACGGAAGCTAGCGCTATCTTTCACATGTACAGTGGGGCTCGCAGCGCATCTGTCACGTCACGTAAGAGTCAAGCGTGTCTGACCGCGAGTGGTGACATCACCGGCCGGTAATTGGGGCATGTTTTCTCACTTTCTCGTTCGGAGAGTGTCATCCCCTGTAAACGATCCCACCCTAATTGGTCTTAGCCCTCCTGACTTATGAAGGGTTCACAGACGGGGTCAGATTAGGGTCGTAGCTCTCGTTACAGAAATCATAACCCCAGTGCATGAGCTCTTATTAAACAGTCTGCCAGGAGCCGCTGACATGTTATGTGATTCTAACACAACTGATGTTTGTGAAACCGAGTGTAAGAATCTAATGTCTTCAAGCTTCAATGGTGAGAAAAAGAAACCAGGTTTTCATAAATACTCTATAAGTGTAGAAGCTGCATGAGTTGACAGTTTATTAAAGAGCAGATCCATGCAGACGTCGTAGTTTACCAAGGAAATATCTCCTGGAGAGCTTTTGAGGATATTTGCAGGCAATACAGGCACTTTGAGCTTGATCTTTGTGTTTAAATCATGATATGGCGAACTTAAAGGGATAGTTCACTTTGAAATGAATTTTTTGGTATGTTTTAGCATACCTCAAGGGCATCCAAGATGTAGGTGTCTTTGTTCCCGCAGCAGTTTCAATGTTGATATTTTTAGGTCAAACCGTTCTTGTCTGTCGTTCATATAATGGAGGTCTATGGTCACCACCTCAAAGAGCATGCACAGAGAAGTCCAAATTAAACATGATTTAATGACTCGTAGATGTAAGTACACATTGATGGCCTAAGACATGAAATGAGCGGTTTGTGTGAGAAAACGAACAGTATTTATTTCGTTTTTACCTCTTGTAACCACAGCCACGTCCAAGTGATCTGAGGGCGCAGGCGCTTTGTGGCTGTGGTTACAAGAGGTAAAAACGATATAAATACTGTTCGTTTTCTCACACAAACTGCTCCCTTCGTGTCTTAGGCCATCAATGTGTACTTACAGTACATTTACGAGTCATTAAATCATGTTTAATTTGGACTTCTCTGTGCATGCTCTTTGTGGTGGTGACCATAGACTAGGGCTGCAACAACTAATCGATAAAATCGATTATAATCGATTATGAAAATCGTTGTCAACGAATGTCATTATCGATTAGTTGGTCTGATTACGTCACGGGGATTGTTTACATGGAACATGCGCTTCATGAGGCACACACGCAGTCTCTCTCCCTCGCCGCTCTACCCTGTCTCGCGCGCGCAACACGGACGGTTTGGAGCACATTATCTTCTGTCTCGCATGCGCGCTCTTGATTCCGTGAGTTTGAACTAATTTGCGGGCATCAGGAAACCGCTATCAATGTGCAGCATACACGAAAATCATTCACCTTTCGGTAAATTCGCCGTTTTGAAACCAAAATAGGTGACCTACGTTAATCGTGTATACTTTATGAAGCCATACTAAAGTATAATGTGAGATAGAAATGTATATTTAAGTCATTAAATTCAAGTTAACCTAAGCTTTTCCCTCCACTGCGGCTGTCAGTCATTCTCTATTCGGTGTTCAAACAGCGCGTCGCGTTACAACAGTTAACATGATGATCTCTTTCCAAGATGATTCAGTGTTATTATTATAATTTCTCCGTAGATAAAGGTCTATGATGGTTTTTCTATCTTGCTAGACTTTAATTGCTGTAACTTAATCACTTTCTACTGAGTGTCTGTTAGATCACAACACTAGAGTCGGCGCAGTATAATTGTTCTTCACGTGCACAGTAGCCTAACTGAAATTTAAAACTGTTAAAAGAAAAGTCTTAATAAACTATTGCATAGATCCTGTATATAATACACAGTCAATATGTCTTTCTCTTTCCTTGGTGCTTTTAACATTAATGCGGCGGACACTGACTGAAGAGCTGCGCGCCGCCCTGTGACTCCGTGTTGCTTCATCATTCAGCGCTCGCGATGCGCATAAGCACTTTGTGCAGCTCTTTCATGATCATGTCATAATACTTTTGCGCAATGAAAGCTTATTAATAGCCTATCTTGTTCTGTCCTATCTATTATATTTTGCTTCCTCACTAAACAGCTGTGCTTTACATTTAAAACAGTTGTGCATCTGATTTTTACGATGTTTTTCATGAATGTATAACAACAATACAAAGAGCAATGTGAACGTTTTACCAGTGTTAGTGCTACACTTATTGTCTCTTATTTGTTCCCCACTAAGGAATGTTTTTTTCACTAAATGTTCAGATTTTATAAAATTATTGTGCACTTGTGATATTTCTAGGCTAAGTTTTGCTGAGTTATCCACTAATATAGTTTACAATAGCATTTTTGTCATAGGTTATGGTCATATATATATTTTTTATTTGTTGTTTTTCTTTATAATGAAGTTGTCTGTATTAAGTAGATTGTTTAACACACAAAAGAGTGTTGTTTTTAGGGTTTTATTTTGTTATAATAAACAAAAAAATGAAATATAATTTTTTATCCGATTAATCGATTAATCGAAAAAATAATCGTCCGATTAATCGATTATCAAAATAATCGTTAGTTGCAGCCCTACCATAGACCTCCATTATATGATTGATAGACACGAACGGTTTGACCTAAAAATATCAAAATTGAAAATACTGCAGAAACAAAGACACCTACATTTTGGATGCCCTTGAGGTAAGCTAAAACATACCAAAAATTTATTTCAAAAGTTCGGGTTCAGTACATGTTTTTGAAAGAAGTCTATTGTGTTCAGCAAATTATGTATTTATTTGATCAAAAATACAGTCAAAAACTGTAATACTGTGTAAACAGTTTTATAAATTGTAATTTATTCCTGTGATGGCAAAGCTGAATTTTTCAGTGTCACATGATCCTTCATAAATAATTTAAATTTGATGATTTGCTTGATGATGAAAACATTTCTTATTATTATCAATATTAAAAACAGTAGTGCTGAATAATATATTTTTACAAATATTTTTATATATTTTTTCTCTTTGATAACAGTTTAAAAGAACAGCATTTATTTGAAATAGAAATCTTTTGTAACATTGTAAATGTCTTAACTGTCAATTCTGAATGCACCCTTGTTGAATAATGATATACAATGAAAGTCAGTGGGGCCCAAAGCATGCAGGTTTGAAGCCACATGAGGGCGAGTAAATGATGTCAGAATTATCATTTTTAGGGTGAACTGTCCCTTTAAGTATGTGTGTCACAATCTTTACTGTTGCCTTAGTGTGATATTTTGCCGATCCTAAAAACATGACAACATCTATTTGAATGGCCATACTTTCTCCATCTCCATTGCATCCCCCTAACTCAATTTTGGTTGGGGATATCACACTTTCTGACTGTTTTTCCTGAGATCTTGCCCAGACTCAAAGGTCAGTCAGACTCACCAATTAAGGATGGGACTAAAGGACTGTGACTGACATTTTACTCCAATTCCCTGTCATGTACTGCAGTGCCCTATTTTGGCGGCAAATCAATGTGAGGCCTGCTGAAAAAAAAAGAAAAAAAAAATATGGCATACTGAGTGAACATAAACAATTGTAAAAGTCCTAATAGAATTAAATGAATGGAGCAGCTTTACAAAGTGAAAGTGTGTGAATGTTTCTGGCCTTATAGCTTAGAGTAACAAAAGGTTTAGAAACAAAAACACAAACAAAATGAACTTTTTCTGTGGTTCTCTCACCATAATACTATCACCACAGCCATTTCAAACCACTAGCTGCTATGACACCAACTGATCCATTAGCTCTGCGACTATTCCTGGCTGATCCATTAGCTTTGCTTCCAAGCCCTAGAAAATTAGGAATTACTATATTCACAAAACAACAAACACTTAAAACACAAAGGGATGTAATCCATTAGGGTTGTTTTCAAATTCAGCTTTCATGTGTATATCCGAGAATCAGGAGAGTTTAGACTCAGAGTGCTAAACAGAGACTATTTGGGTCTGATCAAATCGCTGGTAAAAGCATCAGGAAGCATCCACAGAAACCGTTCAGATTCAATTAGCTAATGGAGGAGCACTGTATTTCCTAAAGCCCTTTTTTCCTTGGCAATGCATTTCACAGTGAGGACTTCAACATCATTATAATGGTTTAGCCATTATGTCTCCATCAATAGACTTCTCACAACTTCTCAGCATTATATTTGGTTAAGGCAGTTCATAGTTCCATAATATTAACGGCACAGCAAGACATGCCCGGGGACAAGGCAACCTCAAAAATAGCTGTGCAGCTATGCATCTTATTTGTGAATGTGTGGCTATTGTCTTGCATGCCTAATATGAAATTGTTGCTCCACCATTTTTTTTTTTTTTTAATCAAAGGAGAATAGAAGGATGTGCACTATCGATATAAGAATATGGCCTCTTCAAAATGCCACAGGCCCATCATGTCTCTTAGCAAATCCTTAGAGGTGTGGACTTCCCTGGAGAGGAATAAAATGAATTCATCACACTCTCCATTATTCATTGTTTTTTTGGAGTAAAACATTCTTTGCTTCAGTCCAGGTTCACATTCTTTTGACTGTTACTGCTTTGACTAGATTCATAGAAATAATAGATTAATAGAAATAATAGATTATGCGCTGTAATTCACACTGCAATGTGTACAGCATTCATTAACGTGCAACAAATGTACTTTAGATATTGGGCCTAATTAAAGGAGAACTCCAGTCAATTTTAACGTTGAGCTAATTTTTTTGTACATTTGGAGTGCTGTCAGTACAGACAAAAACGACAAAAGTCGGTGTTGCCTACACCGTGATATCGTATTTTTAAAATTCGCACCCTGTTGACTTCAATGGGGCAGCCTCTTAACTTCCTTTATTTGTCATTACGAGTGCACAGCCATGTAAGTGGTGTTATTAAGAGTGACCACGGTCAATCTGACTGCAGTAGATGTGAAAGATATGACTAAAAATGATGTTAATTCAGCCAGCTCACATACCTCTATTTGCTTCCTGTTTTCGGTCGAAGCCCACAGTAGTCAATTGTCGAGTTCACGCGCGCGATCATTAGTGAATATCATCTCAAACCCAACACTGTGTGGTGTTCTGAGAATATCAGCTCAAATGGATAGTTCATCCGAACTATCTATGTTCAACTATGTTGAACACACGGAGGAGGTTTGAGATGATATTCACTAATGATCGCGCGTGTGAGATCGACAATCGACTACTGTGGGCTTTGACCGAAAACAGGAAGCAAATAGAGGTATGTGATCTGGCTGAATTAATATAATTTTTATTAATATATTTCACATCTACTACAGTCAGATTGATCGTGGTCACTCTTAATAACACCACTCACATGGTGTAATGACAAATCAAGGATGTTAAGGCTAAGAGCAGGTTTAGATCTATCTATCTCTGTCTGTCTGTCTTATCTATCTATAAATTACAGGAACTGTCTGTCCGTCTGTGTCATGAGTAAGTGCAGTGCCGAGTTTGACGTTGTTTGGATTATAAATGCAAAAGAAATCAGTAAATATAAAAAATAAACATTCTGACATTAGAGGGGGTTGTGGTTTAAAAATTGTGGTTTAAAAATAAACATTCTGTGAGCTAAACATTAAGTCAGCTACACTGTTTACTTCTAATGCATAAAGCAGTTCACCTTTGGCTAAGCCACGCCCTAGAATGTAGATTGACCAATCACAGCGCAGCCAAGAACGAGCTCCCACAGAGGTCGGACACTTTTTCACAGCGCTCTATTGACTTTCAACACAGATACACGTTTCCCAGAGTGGTTGTCGATTATAGAATTGAATAGAGACCTACCCATTTGCATGAACAGTGTTGCTCCCTGATATTGTTAGTCCCAGCCTCCGTCTCGATTAGTAGGAAGTGGTTAATTTTTTGACTGTGACCGGTAACGTTATGCTTTTGCCTCTATTTTGGATGCCTTTTTGTTTCTTGCGTTTATGTCTTGAATTTAGCCTTCGAACGCATATTGCAGCCCCTTTTGCCTTCTTCTATCGGACACTTTATTTGCTGCTTTATAAAAGTTTGATAACATTTCAGCAGGAAGAGCTGTTACAGCATAAGCCATGCAGAGCGCAGATGAAGTTTGACGGATGTAGCAACAGTAACTAAGGGGGGTGGGGCTTAGCCAAAGGTGAATTATGCATTTAATACAATGTAATTATAGTTTTTTTTTCAATGTAATTCTATGTTTCTTACAATGTAACTATACATAGTCTAAACTGTATGGAACTATGAAAACTGCATAGAACTATGAAAAAAGTAGCAATTCATTTTTGAAAAGTAGCGTTTCTTTTTGAAAAAGTATCGATTCACTTTCGAAAAAGTATCGATTCTTTATTTGAAAAATTATCGATTCACTTGAAAAAGTAGCAATTCATTTTTGAAAAAGTATTGAATCACTTTCAAAAAAGAATCGAGATTTTTTCAAAAATGTTTCAATACTTTTCAAAAAAGAATCAATACTTTTTCAAAAGTGAATCGCTACTTTTAAAAAAAATGGATAAATACTTTTTCAAAAATTAATAGCTACTTTTTCAAAAAAGAATCGCTACTTTTTTAAAACTGAATCAATACTTTTTCAAAAGTGAATCAATACTTTAAAAAAAAGAATCGATACTTTTTCGAAATTGATTCAATACTTTTGCAAAAATGGATTGCTACTTTTTCAAGTGAAGCAATAATTTTTAAAATAAAGAATCGATACTTTTTCGAAAGTGAATCGATACTTTTTTGCACAGGCATTGCACTAGTTCTATAAACAATCATATTCCCGACTTAACAATCTACAGAGTGTGTGCGCGTTTATCCGTGGGGTTTTGCCCTTGGGTCTATCTATATCTATCTATCTATCTATCTATCTATCTATCTATCTATCTATCTATCTATCTATCTATCTATCTATCTATCTATCTATCTATCTATCTATCTATCTATCTATCTATCTATCTATCTATCTATCTATCTATCTATCGCTCAAAGAAAGATTTGCTCCATTCAACTGTAGTGGATCCATTAGAAATGTTGTTTAACACACTATTATTTATATTTATTATTTAAAAGGAAGAGATATGCATTCAAAATGCATAATGCAAAATGCAAAGTCAAAATGCATATTTAGAATAATTTGTAAATTTAGTTTAAAAAAAATTTAGAAAAGAATCATAATGTGAATCAAAGCCTACATGTTCTGTCCATTTTGATATAGACTGCGTGTCCGCTTCCATTTCTCAGGACACACACACACACATGCCCGTGCAGCTTTCAGAGAAGCCACTGTACTGATGATGTGTATGGGGCCAAATCCAATGTCTGGGCTCTGCAGGGTGTCCGAGGCTTCCTATCGTCCTCTTGCAAAAACAGAAATTTTCCATTGAGTTAAGCAAGAATATCACACTCTCTATCTCACTTCAAAGTGTTTGCTTGAAAGACTAGGATTCATGTTCTGGTTCCAGTGCTCAGAGGGAAACTGTAAAGAGGGTTCACTGTAAAGTGAACAAAGCATTAAAAGAAATCACTTCATGAAATCTATCATTACTATCATTACAAAAAAAATGTATGCCATCATTTTTTTCTGAGAAACACAGAGGATTTCTGAAGAATATGCTCTTTTTGCATATAAAATTTTATAGTGAATAGCTTTTTTTTAGGAACAGACAATATGTTATAGCCTATTATTACTGAAAATATTTCCTCCTTTAGGCTACAACTCTAAAATCTAATTCTCTATCCTCTATTTAAACATATACTTTGCATTTGGTTACTATAGAATGGCAATTTTTACTTTGAATGTGAATGTGATATTTTAGAGCCTCAGGGAAGGTAAAGTTTTTTTCAGCTAACTTTCTTTATGTTCCTCAAACAAAGGAGACTTCAGAGTCCGAGAGTCAGAGACCCCAGAGACTACTTTTATGTGGTTTGAATTTGCTGTGTGGAGATTCTTAAAAATGTATTTGGGTCTGCAACAACACGAGACGAATAAATAATGGCAAAAAATATATATATAGGTTTTGGGAGAACTTTTATTAAGAATTCAAATGTAAAATAACACTGCAAATAATCTTCACTGCATACATTAAATAAAAAATTAATCAGTTACAAAAGGTATTCGGACATGAGTGATTTTCTTGTCTTTTTTTGTTTGATTTACATTACAGGGGTGATGAACTGAGAAATCAAATTTTCCTTGAGCTTTTGACATCTAAGAGGTTATCATATTATAAGAATATCCTGTAAGTTTCAGAACTGAAAACGTCCTTGTTAGTCCAATAAAAGCTTTTATTGACACTAGCCTCTGAAAACGACTCGTTTTTAAAAGTGGGGGAACTATGACGTCGAAGGGGTTAAAACACCACCCCCGCAGAAGAAGATCAACACCTACTTTAACACAGCCGGATTAGCCCCGCCCACCGATTCGTGCATTACACGCATAGCTAAGTAGCCTAACATATGCCTACCTCATGATGACAAACTGGATCGAGCTACCGAGCAATACAGAATATTGTGCAGTGCCTGGTTGTGGAAGACAGTCACTGCATGAGCTTCCTCTGGATTCCAATAGGACTGCATGGCTATATAATTTAAACCTTGTTTGTATAGTGTGTAACCACACGTTTATAAATATATATATTTTTAAAGATATTGTATTAAAAACTGCATATATATTCTTGTTCTGTAAGTTAGCCATCTCCTCACATTTGCCACAGAAACACCTGTATGACGAGTAAACATGATGCCACAGGTCCCCGTCCCTCGCATAAATGTAATTTCGCTTGTACGTAGCTTGTACGACAACTTTATCACAGTATGTGTATGTAGTTTCAAAAAATTGCGCCAGCATTAGTGTTTGTGTGTGTGTGTGTTGTTCCACATCCATAATTGCAAATGGGACGCGATTACAACAACTCAACTCAGTACATAAATGTATCAAATAACCATACCGAGACGTACTGGTCCATTCTCATTTGTGTTTATTCTGCCGGAGTCTCTTCGTACTATTTATATATTCCGATTCAAATGTACGCTGAATGACATTCGAAATCAATCCGGTTGAATGTGTTTTTGACTACCTCTGGAAGTGGTCACATGTGGACAAGCCGGAAACATTTAGACCCGTTTACACCTGTATTTAGAGTCATCAACTTTGATTGGGGTGATGCAAATGCTTCTACGTGTAAACAGGGCCCTAGTACAGTATATCATCTGTTGGTTTCTGTATGTGCATTCCCATAGTTATTAATCCGTATTAGTGTCACAGTCCTCTAATTTGAAGTGATCTGCATTTTAAGAGAAAAACAGTGATCTTACAGAATTAACACTAAACAACATTTGCATTAGTAATTTTACTTCTATTCAACTTATTCTGGCATTACAAACAGGTAAAGGTTTTTTCATTTTTTTCATCAAGTACGAAAGGTACGAAAGGTATGGAAGCTTGTTTCCGC